CGTTTTGTTCTTCCATCGGGATGGCAACTCATTCCTTCAAAAATAGGATATTTACTCACGGGAAAACGTGAGTATACGTCAGGAATGAGCAGTGAGGATGACACCAGGGACTGGCCGTGATAGGGTCCATCAACACCCTGGTGAATTTCGATGAAGAATTGGAAAGATGGGACAAGTACTGGACCATGGATAATGCAGGCATTTGTGAATTCACAGGAACAAAAAGCGCAGAAAAAGAGGCGATCAATAAAAAGGTCGCAAAATACTTCGAGGACTCCATTGAGAAACGCGAAGATGGATACTATATCCGCTTCCCGTACAAGGAAAACTATTTGGAACTCCCATCTAATAAGGCCATTGCCCTTAAGCGCTTGCGCTCCGTGTTACAAGCGCTAGGTAAAACACCCACCCTGCTACGCGAATATGATGACACCATTCGGGCGCAAAAGGAGAGTGGCATCATTGAGGAAGTTTCACAAGCGCTACCTGCAATGGGGGAATTAGTGCACTACATACCCCACAACCAGTGTTGACACCACATAAGGAAACCACTGAAATTGCGCATCGTGTTCGATGCATCGGCACACTTCAATAATAGCCCATCACTAAATGACATTCTTCATCAGGGACCGCTCATTTTGCCCGAACTATATGCGATGCTGTTACGTTTCCGCATTTCAAAGTATGTAGTCATTGCGGACGTAGAAAAGGCTTTTCATCAGGTGCACTTGCACGAGGCCGACAGGGACATAACACGATTTCTGTGGGTCAAAGATGTTGACGCACCCGTAGAGGACAGCAACATCGTTGTTTACCGTTTCACACGCGTGACTTTCGGATTGAATGTCTCCCCATGTTCCAGCAAGATCTGTGGAGAGAAAACTTTTCTTGGGATGAACGTTTGCCACCAAGGCTAACCATGCAATGGAATGACCTAGTGGAGAACATAAGGGATTTCCAGAGAACCTTCCCACGGCAACTTTGTGCGGAATCGCGCAAAATAAATTTAGCAATCTTCGCAGACGCTAGTGAGATAGCGATTGCAGCAAGCGCTTATCTCTTTGATGGAGGTCATTCAGCACTAGTGATGGGTAAAGGCAAGCTCCCTTCCATCAAGTCCAAAACAACAATGCCCAAATTAGAAATGAATGCGCTCACACTGGCGGTGCGCCTAGCGAACTCAATTTCGCGAGCCTTGAAAGAAAGAGTCCCCGGCTACCCCTGGACAGTTCACGTATTTTCGGACTCTCAAATTGCTTTATCCTGGTTGTCATCGCCTTCTAGCGCCAATGCCGGGGTTCTTGTGGCGAAATAGACTCCGAGAATAGACTCCGGAGTTGGCGCCATCGAATCTTGAATCACCTAAAGAAGGATTCATTATAGCTACACTTCAGATACGTGAAGACATCTGAAAATCCTGCTGACGCAGGAACACGAGGATTCTTAAGGGTGGCGCTCGATGAACATTCTTGGTGGCACGGACCAATATTCCTGCGCGCGCAAAAGGGGCAAGATTTTGAAATTTGCGCAGAGCGATACTGCAAAATACAACGCTTCGAGTCAGATCCGCACCTTGTCCAATTCCCACTGGAGGTGACGATCCGTGACTACAGAGTTCTTGTAAAATGGAACGTGGAAAACCATTTAGCAACCATGCAAATGCGATGTAAAGGGCTTGATTTCTGTGAAAATATCGGCTGTGGAATTTGTTTACCTGTCCTATTGAATCCCGAATGTTGGCCGGTGGGAGCCATCATAACACTTGCCCTATGCCTTTATTCAATCGTAGGCATCATCTACGTTTTCCTTTATGTACCAATAAATATAGGGAAGCCGATACGAATCATTCTGAAAGCCATCCTCAATCTGATCATAATCCTGGCAAAGGGGATCTACTGCTGCTTTAGGGTATTTCGTAGTAAACTGCGCCGGAAGAGAAATAAAAGAAGTCTGCGACTAACAGCAGCACTTGCTACTGCGATCGTGCTGTCGTACGTGGTACAGCTGGTGCATACCTGTCAACACGTAAACGTCCTAGAACACCGCTCTACCACCTGCACTCAAAGCAATGGTACGGAAACATGCACGGTCGCACTAATGGAGGTGTTGAAAATCAACACTCTTAAACAGCAAGCATGTCTGAGGCTCGTAAGCAATAAAACATTGATCGCTAATGTTAAAATACGTTGGAAAGGGCTATACTTGCACTGTGACCGGGAGACCTTATATTTTACGCGCTCCACAAACCTGAATGTGACAAGTAGCAAGCGTTGTCCACGCATGGGTTCGTGTAGTGGAGACAAATGCGCAAAGGTGAACAGTACCAGTATCATCCCCGAGCTCAAACGAGGGAATCATTTTCCTGGTAGGACTGGATGCTATGAGTCATGCGGAGGATTAGGTTGCGATTGCTTCTATCCAAGCTCGGGCTGCCTATTCTACCGCGTATTTGCTACACCAGTTGACACAAAAGTCTATGAGATCTTCCGATGTATGCGCTGGCGTGAACAAATCATGTTGGAAATCATTGTAGAAGGCACCCATATAAGATCGGGCAAGGAAACGCATATAGTGCAAGTAATACCTAATGCTCCTATAACTCTACCATCACTTCGCCTCAACGATGACCTTCCTTATCAATGCCACCAACACCAGCGTTGAGTAGCACGTTCTTCACTGATGGTGAGGACACTGCAGTATGGACAGGGGCCATCACTCCAAATCTCATTTGCGACTCTAGAGAAAAAGCGCAGCGCATGAATTGCACAGTAGTGGATGACTGCAACTGCGCCCCGGCCGAGTCCACTGTTTCATGTCACTGCACGTCAGCACATATTACTAGAGAATTCGATCAGCTTCAACATAAACTCCCCAAAAAGACACCCTATTGGGAACTTCGTTACCAGAACACATCCCTGGTTGCAAAAATACCCCAATGGTTTCATCCGAATTCATAGTGGAATTCCATAAGACCTGGGACACAGCAATCGTCCAGGTGAGAGAGGACGAATGTGCAGTGGAAAATAGCCCTTTACAGGGATGCTATCACTGTGCAGGGGAGCCCTCGCCAAAGTAAGATGCACCTCAGCTACAGAAAATTTTTGGCGAGGTATTGTGTACTGAACATGCGTTCGTAATCCCGTGCGCGCCACACGGTCCAGAGTCAGAACTGCGCTTCCACCTTGACTCTGCCAGACAAATTCTGAACTGCACGATATCCTGTGGACGTTTTGAGAACGGGTTCTTAATTACTGGAGTACTGAAATATGTGAACACGTTCCACTACCCAGGTATGGCAACACTGGATGTAAACAACACCGTTTTCAACGAGTTCCAGTGGCCCGATTTTGGCCACATCATCGATACCATCCTTACGTGGTACAAGACCTTGCTCATTGCAGTGGTAGCGGTCGCACTGGCAGTTGCACTGACTTACTTATATGTGAGCACATGCGGTATGCGCACAGCGCAAGTACTCCTGAGACTCCTGTGGGCGGTCATTTGCCTCCCACCCCGCCTTGTTCTTGCAGTTGTCAGCACCACTGTAAAATTCTGTTTCAAGTTACGAGTGCACGAGAAGAAAACAGCTTAGCCGCTAATAATCGATTTTTCAAGCGTAGACACAAGTTTAGAAAATATTCACTAGTTGCTAGGAAATCAATATTTTTTGGCCATTATCTACTAATACTTTATCTTATCCAAAAGAGAAAAGTAAAGGGAAACCAACAAATAATAATTGCGCATGAGCCTAACAAATTTCAGATATGGAAGACGTCCGTCGAGAATTGAATGAAGTAAGGGAGGAAATACAGGGACTGCACAGTGCCATCGACGACTTGAGTGCGCTCGTGAGGCAAAATCCCGAGCAACGTCCAGCTGAAGAAGTTCCTGCGCAGCAAGAAGAGCGCCAGGTCATCGCGGAGAATGCGCACTTTATGGAAGCGATACAGGATGCCGGTGACAGTGATAGCAATGAAAGCACCGATGACGACAGCGACGCATCCAGCGAAGACGACAGCAGCGATTCCAGTGACGACAGCGATGACATTGCAATAGAAGAGCAGCAAGCACAAGCTGAGAACCCCCGCGACGTTGAGCAGCCGAGGGCGGAACAGCAACATGAACATGCTGAAAACCCACCGTGGCATCGAGGAACCAAGGGCTGTCCAGAGATACGCACGAGAGATGGGCCATCACCCTGTGAATGTTGAGCTCTGCCGACTGCGCCGGGAACAGGTAGTCTCTTCGTATACTAACCAGGATATGATGAGACAGCTTTTTTGTCAGAGGCGAATGGTCAAGCGAGGAGTCATCACCAGAGAGCGTGAC